ACAGCGCACCGAAGATGTCTCCCCGTATGGTGACGAAACGTTTGCAAATCAATTGCCAAGCTCGGTGAGCAGATCAACAGTCACCTGATTAATTACCAACCAAGGTTTCCTATTCTGATCTTAGCTGACTACAGTGGCGAATGGATCGTGTTTTTTGTGGAATGAATAAAGTCTCACCAAAATGTCGTGGTTTCGTGATGTACTACTAATCTGATATACAGAAAAGAAGCATAAGCTTTCAGTGACCACAGGTAATATGGTTAGACGGAATAGGATAATTTGTGCAAAAAAATTGAAGGTAGGCTACGGATGCGTGAAGGACCTCGCTGATTGATTGCTTCCCATCAGTCATGGTTCTTACTTCTAGTAATGATTTGATTTTTCGGTATGATAAAGTGTTCTTAGAAAACAACTATCTTCACGGTTCTCATGCATCAATAATTGTTGCTCTGAAAGACTGGCCGATAATAATCACTAGAAGGCTGGTGAGAACGTCAGGGAAGTGTCATAATTAATCGGCCGATAAACTCAAAGAAATTAATTCGGGATTAATCGTAAAAATCATTAAAGAAAATCAGTAAAGTGGGGAAGTGGCATGTCACAATGATCCGAAGCAACAAGTTTGATGGCGGGAACTCTTATTTTCTACTTAGTTGGTCAGGTCTGTAATCGCGTTTCGCACCCTCCAGCACGCATTTCGATATTTCCTTCGTTCCGAACATTCATTCGCATAGTTCATACGTACTCGATAATTCTATGAGTTTCATGTATACTCTTCATTATGAAGATCCTAGATGGGGAAGTGGAAGGCGCATTTATAACGACGAGCCATGACAGCTTTATGTGGAACATGGTATCATACACTAATTTAGTTCCAGATATATTTACTGTCAAGACACGAACATACTGACCAGAAGTTCAGTGGTCCGAACCTAATCTCGGCTTCTTCCGTCTAGGCTTAGGCAATCTCGTAGAAGCTCAGCCCTCGCGCTTCCTCCAGGTGGCATGGCAATCACACACCGAAAGGTTGCTACAGCTGAACGATTACACCCCGCTCAATCTCACCTGGACACTACTTGCTTGATTTAAAGCACGCATGAAAATCGGCTATGAGTCTGACTAGTACTGAATAGCCAGGTAACTCACGCGTGCCGTATGCTAAGTGGTGAGGTTATTTCTGTGAACCTTGCACCAAAACATATGACGATTAAATCATGATTCATCTTCTTGTTGAGTCACAGTGGGTGCGGAACGCTCGTTGTTTTAGGACCGACCCTATATGCCTCATAATCTCACCAGAATGATCACCTTTCTTATTCAACTTTTGGCTTTATCTTGTTTCCACAAAGCCTCATCAGAATTCTATTCACCTCGAGGTGTCACAATTTATAACCAATAACAGAAACGCTCGTAAAATCATCTAGCTAATGAACACTGGAAACCAATGATTCAGGCATCTGCTTCGTCCTTTTGGCTCCAAAGTCTCTTTTTGACATTGCATTCTGTAGAACGAACTTCCCTCAACGGTCAAAGAAACAGCATCATTAGAAGACTTCTGCCGTACAAGGGCTTGAAAAGTCACTCATGCTATCTGCGTTCACATCAGAAAGCACTTATTCGTGTGTTGTTTTGGCTGACTTTCAGAACAGTGTTCCCTGATGAAGTACTTTGCGTGATGAATAACACCCGTATCAGAAAGTTTAGAAAAAGTAGAATTGAAGGTGGGGAGGTGAGCCTAACATTTTGCTGTCAAATACAACAGAAATACAACCAACAGTAATGCATACTTTATACTTAGGACAGTCGAACAGACTGGGTTAGCTTTGGAATTTTCAGTGATAATGTTTTGCCTTCATATTCACGTTGTTCAAAGTCGATGCGTTTCATCCGAAACCCACAGATTGTCTGCATTTTGCGATATTTTGTGAACGCACCTTTGGGGTTTCAATCACTCGTCAGCAAACAAAGCTATGAAATCTCGAGAAAGTTGGAAAACTTGTTGTCTCGAGCCATAGGACGTATTTGCAGGCCTTTCTGAAATGACTTCCTTCGGATGAATATCTCTTGGGAGATTAACAAAGTTTCCTTATGGTTCGGTAAGCACATTTTCCCTAGGATGAGCGAAAGTACATAGACGTTTAGCAAACTCGGTACACTACTGCTGCATACAGGAAAACACCTCACCGTCACTTGTGTTAGGCGGTCAGAATTTACACACACCTATGAAGCAACTGTTGTCCGTTGTGATTAGGTTAAATTAGCCACTGCCCCTAATGTTCGCTTTGCGATTCGCTCAGTGTGAACCATTACCGGGCACAAGTGTACTGTACTCGAGGTATTGCGGCTGAACCAGTTCGAAGACGAAAAACAGATTCGCGGGTCATGTGCTGGTAATCGAACTCGGTGAGGGACAAATTAACCTCAGTCCAGAAACTAGTATTGTCTAGGGAATGTCATGTACCGACCAAGACAGGACGTCAGAACTACTGTTCCCAGTCTGCCAAGTGCACTACTGAATAGTTTTCAGTGGACCAGTTCCCGGGGTATAAATAAATGCAAAAAAGAGTTACTCTGTCACTAGGGTGATTCATATTTGTTTCTCAAATGCTAAGGTGCCAGGCTTGGGTGGGAGACCAAACAAAGTGATGCAAACGTGGTTCGTCACAGACACCAAATGAAGTTGTCCGTAGCCAGATGTGTCAACCGCTTGACAAACACAGTGTAACATTAGTTCGAATGGCGCACTATCAGCTTAATGTGAGCACACAAACAGGGAGGTAAAACCCGAACAAGTTGCGGAAGACGTCAAATCCAAGGTGACATGGCATGAAAAGATTGAGGGAGTGAACAACGCTCTATCAGCTGATACTACAGTAGTAACTACTGGTGGACGTGCTATGCAAATTGGCGGATATCGAGACAACCATCCACTGCTTTCGAACCAAAAACTCAGCGACGAACAGCTTGTAGAAACATCCTCTTGCATATGCGATAATATTGTGCTTTTTTAGACGCCTAACTCTCCAAAACTGTTACAATGACGTGTTTTTTGATTGCTTGATGATTTCCAGTTCAGGATGGCAGGGGTTTTGATAATTTGTGACTTGTATTGAGAGCAATTTCCTCCCTCGTGTAAGTTGTGTCGAGTGGTGTCAGCGCCTTTTTGATTGTAAGTTTGTATTCAAGCTATATTACTCACTGTTTGTGGTGAAGGCTTCACTAAAGGATCGTATAAGGTAATATTTTGCTCCATCGCTTGACTCCAAACTTCAAAACATAGCGGTCCATTTAATTCACTTGGGCGAAAAGGGCTCTGGCATGGATATCCCTGGGATTGACGGATTCAGATGGGCTTATTATTGCAAACTTGAGTACATCCTGAGTACAGCTGCCGCTCAACATGCTGTGTTCTGCATTCCGGGTTACAAGACTATCAGTGACCGCATTATTGCTTACGTTCTCCAACCCGAAGTTTTGTTTTGAACTTCCAATTAGTAAGAAATAGTCAGGTTGATATAACAGGTTGATATAACAGGTTGATATAACATGTCCATTAGCTTGACCACTGGTAATGGGACTACTTTGTTCGTAACGCACTGGAACTAATATCAACCAGGCTTTCCAACTGACTAAACAAAGCTACCCGATTCTAGCCGAATCAAAAACAGTCCATCACAGTTCAATCTCGGTCACTAGAATCAAACATCATTCATATTAAGTAACTAAATAACAGTGTGAACTGGCGGAGTTACTTTGCCCGTACTCGCCTAAACGTGTGTATTTCACCACTGTGTTATTGAGCTTTCAGCTGGGATCTATTCAGTGGTTTCCAGCACATCCGGTCAATATACTCTTGCTTGGCTTAATGTTTGTTTCCCTTACGTACTGCTCAAATTGTGTGTGAAAGTCACTTAATGATAAAGTGTCGTGCGTTACCCTTCTTCCTTGAACGGGTACAACCTTCCTGGTCTTATGACATTTTTCCGATGAACGCGCCCATCTGGAATTTCGCAGTTACATTTCCCGGTATTTTCAGATATTTTACTCTGGTTTATTCCAACAACATTACCCACAACAAGCGTCTCCCTTAGTTATCTGGGATTTAGCCCACGATGTGCAACACTGTGTGGAGCAGAACAGATTCGTCGCTTGGTATACCAGCGACTGTTTACTACCTGAACCCAATCATCAAGTCTTGAAAACTTCCTTTTCTTGATAAATTTCCAAATTTCGACTGGTTTTAATACTTGTCTGTAAATATGCAGTGTGGTCGTCAGTGTGGGATAACTTTTTCCCACGTTGACAATGAAATTTAGCATCGAAGGTCAACCAACACTCAGTACCGTGCTCACACTAACATTCACGACAATCAAAGTTGTTATGCCAACAATAAGCCTGCATGGAACAGCTTCTCGGAGTTCTGCATGGCTAGTGAGTAACACTCTCCCAGAGTATGACAGTTTATCAAGGTGAGAAAGCTAGCAGGAGGGGCTTCTTGGCTCTATGGAAAGTGAGAAGTATTTTGGATGGAGTGCATGAAACTTGTAGTTGAGTAGCTGATGTTTAACACTGTTTCAAAAACCTCAACATCATTCTGAGTGACATCTTTCACTATTCTGTGTGGTTTTAACGCCAGATAAGCGAAAAAGTCAGCTAATTATCTTCCCGGGAAATATTCAGATTTGAAAACGAAATTCTGGTCATGTTCCGACGTGGCTGTTTGTATGCTACCACATGACGATGTCATTTGCATGCCCCAAAGGGCGGGTATATCCCTCTCCTTTCCCGTGAATGCGCTGATTTACAGTAAAGGGATAGGCCACAATTGATCCCTACAATATTTCACCAAATAGATAAACCACTCTTGTTTACAATACTCGAGAGCAACGACAAGATGGGAGGAGTTCCAAGTGTGAAATTTTCACGAAACGATTGGCCAGAATAACTATTTTAAAGTTGACGACATGGAAAAACCACACACAAATCAAATAAACACATACCTCCGTTGTTGGCTAGATTATGAGCTTCTTCGTTCTCCAACTGGTCCTCGTGGTCACTGACTGGTGTGCGCTCTAGCTTTCGTTCACTGACCGGAGACAAAGGTTCTACAGGGAAAAGTATGTGACCGAATATTCCGCGATCGTTTGTGCTGAACTCCAACAATTCTGGGTGCTCAAAGTCTAGTGGATCCTCTTTCGTGTTAGATAGATCTTCAGAAGAGATGCTCCCATTGATCAGTGGGTTTCTGTCAAATATACTTATCGAGGGATCCGATGTGACGATCTGAGTCAGCTGAAATGTAGGCAAAGTTTGACCACGTGTCACCGCTTATTAAAGGGTTTTGGACTGTACGTGTATTAAATCGCGCGCTGGCCAGTTAACTTCCTTTGTAACGTATATGGCACATGAATTTACATAAACAAGCCACATGCGGTTAGCCGAGACGTGATATTTTTCGAGAGCTCCAATAGTTTGGTGCACCATGGACCGTCCTACAACAAACATCAGTAGTTTCTCGGTCGGGCAGCGAGCAACACAAACACCACTACTAGTGCGGAGCAAACGTGATCGATTCTGCATCAGTGCACAAACCTAGCCACCGATTACGAGACAGTGGCACAGGAGCTTGTGCGCGTGTATGCGTGTGTGCATGCGAAACAGTGGTACAACATCATCTGATAGGTTGTGCACAGCACTATGCACACAGCGAATTTCACAAGGTCGTCGGAAAGGTGCTTTAACGGTCTGGCCTACTCGTATTAGCTGTGGGTTCAGGCCGACGCACGAAATTACCCTTGACCACTATTTTATGTTCATTGTCTTCAAGTCTAAACCGAATAAGGTCAAAGTCTAATAGTTCGCTATATATAATTGTGAACATGTGTATGGGTGTGCCAGTCTATCCCGTTAATCTGAATCTGAATGAACAGATGACCCTTTAGGTGGACATTAGTGAAACAGAACTTAACACTAGAACGACAAGAACCTGAGGATAGCAGGAATTACGACGTTGCATAATGAATGAAGGGCAAATTCATAGCAGGCTCTCTGGCTTGAACTCATTTGTAGCAAGTTATATAGTGTGGTAAAATTTGGTTGAGCTAATCGCATTATTTGTCTTTCAAAATTGTTCCGAACGGGGAGAATATCCAAACGAAAGGCAAGGTCTGGGCAAGGTCCTAGCTCAAACAATAATTGTCTGCACTAATTGAGATCATGCAGCTTGATATGCTTGAGTCAATCCACGTCGGAACAGTATCCAGTTCCTTTAGATGACGTGCTCCACGTTATGTGCCATAAACCATCATATTCAATTCATATTCTGTATTTGTTCTTCCTCACATTCACGTCTCCGATCTAACAAACATCAAACTAACCATTTAAAACCTTGAAGCATATACGCGTTGGTACGGTACAGACTGCAAGCAGAAACACTTTGGTTGGTCGCGACCCTCAAAACGTGGGCAGTGGTTTCCAGACTTTCTTTCGAGATTTACTCAGCTTGTTTACTGCCACATCACGCTGCCCCGATACGGCTAATTTTATGCTATCCTCAACAGCTCTGTTTTAAACACTCAGACTAAAGCTTTAAAAGCCTCTAACCCACACTGAAAGCCTCTGAATAGTTAAACGGCTATGCTCCAGGCCTATGGGCCTGTGTAAGCTCCTCAACTAAAGGGTTTTCGTCGAAGGGAATTGTGCTTGCGTCAGGTGACCCATACCAAACATCCTGTGGTGTCTCAAGAAGGGTCGGGGGCGAGGTACATGATGGCTACGAAGTCAAAACGATATTGCTATTTTAGGTTGTGCCGTTTAAACATGACATATGCGTTAGCTGGCCCATCATTCTGAATAAGCTTTTTACTGATAAGGTAATGAGTGTGACTCACTGCAATGAGGCTCGGTCGCAACAAACTGAATGAGATGACTGAACTGTTTGTATTCCAACTAACAAGATACAAGTTTCAACTTCACTGTTTTGGATGGTTATGCCACATTGAAAGAGGATCAGTGAACTACATCTTCACTGTTATAAGGCCTCATCAAACGGTCCACACATCTGACATGCGAGATCGTGTTTAACTGTTCTAGTGCAAGGTAGACGCATTAGAATTGTCACAAACATGTTCAGACTCTAGGAACGTATGGTTGTCCGAACACATTGAAACGATGACCGATTAATTGCCTTGGTACTGTAGATCGATTGGCTTGTACACAAATTCAACTGATTTTGCGGAAAGTCACAAATGAGCAGACATGTTTCTCGTAGGCCAAGTAGGCCTGACTTGCAACCAAAGCAGTCAGAACTCAGAAAGCTATTCATCTTTCCTAGCTAAAACAAAATATCTCAAGATAAAGTCACGAGATCACACAAACAAATTTTGGCGCAGAAAAGGCAAATATTTACGTCAGAATAAACAGCACAAAGGTTATCTCAAAAAGGCTATAGTGGCATGTTGAGTGCCAAACTTTTCAGTGACTCCTCCAATCGATCATATCCAGTTCTCTCTCTTGGAATGTCTGCTGAAGACGTTATCTGTCTGTGAAGGCGGTTATCGCTTTATTGATGGAAAGAAACACACAAAACTGATTGGCATGGGTTATCTGCGTCAACAGATATTGGAGCTTTGTTTAACGATGCATCGAAAAGCAGATCCATCGACCATAGGAGGCACGCACTATGCAGCATACATAAATGGACGAATACTGCTGGCACTTGTATTCGATGCATTCTTATGGATCAGTTCACTTTGAGAAGATCCCACGCGTAAGCTGCGTCGAAACTGGCTAGAGGAGGTAAAGATGTTTATCTGAAAACAGAGGTTTATAATGCATCAAATCGCGAAAACCTCACTTCATCAGCGACGGTTTTTTCTGTGGATTCCAAGGCGAAAATACATTCTTGAGTAGTGATAGCAACTGGCATACTGATTCAAAAACTACATGATCATTCGGGAGCAGTCCATCTGGATTCTACCTGTAACTTGCATACAATGGTAGCACTTTTCAAAGAGTGTGAACAGTAAACTATCATTCTGTCAAACCTTCACCGAATTGTTATTGAACCACAGCAGGGGATCAACTGAGATTCTCGACCGACAGTAACCAATCAGCGAACGGCGAATATCGTTTCACGAAAAGTATTACAGCTGCCTGCCAGAGCCAAATCAACTTTAATCGAACACAACCAACCATTATGTTTTGCTTCAATGTCCACCCGCTTTATCCACTGGCTGTCATTGTTAACCAAGCTACTGATATTTATTTACGCAAGTTCTTATTGTACATGATCTAGTAAAAATTTGGACTCCAGAGTGCAAAGAAAATATAGGCGAAATTGCCAAAATGTTCTTTTTATCGAAGTCTTTTGAGTTGCATTAGAGTGAATATGGTTACGGATAAACAGCTGCTAATGCCTCTGACAGAGTGTTGAGTAACCGTGAAGGCCTTTTCTATCATGCTATACACAATGAAAAAGTGTTTTCCTAAGAAGTTGGTGCTATATGCAGATTTTTAATCAAGGATCTGTGAACTAAAACTGTATATGTGTAGTTGTACGCCATACATACAGGGAGTGGATTCTACTTATAGCCCAGGGTAGATATTTGGTCCCAAAATAGCAGAAAGTCGGCGGATGAACAGGAATGAACAGACACTGTATCGTTTGAAAAATGAAATTTATGGCATAAATCTTTCCAAATTTATTGCCCTCTAGCTGGTCAAGCTTGAAAAGATGTAAAAGCAAGAGTTAACAATACAAAGGCGATAAAAAAATACTGCGTTTTCAAAACAGCAGGGGATTTGATTGACCTAAGACCAGGAAAACCTTACATGCTTTAAATGTACTAGGAAAAAGGTGAACGCCGCATTCTATGTTTGCAGTGATCGCTTTGCAATATTTTTCTATTTCGCCTTTCTGTTCAAATGAGTATGCAGTATAAACATACCACTCATGGGAAAAAGTTCAGCAAGGATCCGAAGGATACGGTTCCTGGGAATGTGATTACACCTCCCTGTGCAAACTACAGTTAATGTGATTTCGAAACTTTTTATACCTAGGATGAAAACTAATTCTAGAGTGATAACTAGTTCTGAGGTGACTTTTGAATCACCACGGAAGAGCTTACGGCGTCTTCCCGCTGGTCAGCACAGGTTTCAGAATTCTATATTTCATTAAGCCTAAACTGTGTTTCAATGAATATTTTGACACGATACCTCTGAAAAAGCGATAAAAGTAGATAACTCCTAAAAGGAAGGTAATGGAGGTGCTCAGACCACAGAATACTTCTACCAGAGTTGTTTTTAAAGACAGTCGAGGTACTCCACGTGATTTACTCCATATTTATATGAGGGGCAGTCCACCCAAAGACAGGTGAATGTTATACTTCAAGACATTCATGAGAAGTAGAACAATTTTTCCGCATTTTTTCTTCGATCCAGTACACACACATTACAATTGGAGACGATCCGCTTCCTATCAGGAGCTAAAACATTTTTCCTTTGGGGAGCTCACTTCAAAGAGAATTTTCCCGCATACAACTGATTTCTAGTAGCTACGGTTTTTATTTTGTTCTAGAGTCTTTCACCAATGCACACATCTATATTGCAACGGAAATGTCATGAATTTTTCTAACCGGTGGCGTTTGGGCGTGTTTGGGATCTAGTTTGAGGTCACAAGTTAATATGAAACTATTTTAGTTTCAAAGACAAAAATGTAACCTTTATTTATTGAGTTTATTTTATTCTTTTCGATCAACATTAAGACAAAACATTCCGAAAATTCACCACTAGTCAGATAATTGTCTGAGTAACTCATCGCGTGGTTCGACTGAGCATTACATCGTGCATTCTCAGAATCATGGTCGGCGGCTAACTGCTGCTTACTGTTTTCTGTTGATCTGATCAACAAACTTGGTAACTGGCTCACAGACGATTCACTACCGCTTCAAGGGACATCATCTGAAGACAAGAAAGAAGCCTTACCTCAGCATCGGTTGTCCAGGTAGAGTGATTCATTTGGCACTGGGCCAACAAATGCAGATAGTGACGACATATGGTGAGCGACAGAAATGAGAGTGCGCGCCAACGCGGAGCACGCAGCGGAGCACAGGCATAACAAAACGTTCTATCGATTATGTTCTTGCGCACGAAATTCTCCGACAGCCCCTAAAAAAGTACACGGAGTACTTCTCAGATGTGCAGCACCTTCAGGGGTCCACCATACTGGATGATGAAGACTTCGAAGGTTCGGTAGATTTCTCGTTTAGCGGTTGCAACGAGATGAGTTGCACAGGTAAAAAACCGCAAATTACTTTAGGGCATGGGGATGTCTCGTCGAACTTAACTGATGCCGAGAGCAAATATGGCAAAGCTTTTTATTGGGTTAAATGAAACCTAAGCTGATGTGGGCCTGGCAGCGTG